CTTACATCAATATAAAATATTGCATTAAAATCATTCACCAAGCATATAACAAAATAGAGCACAAACAGCTCCCCCACTAACCTTGCCTTCAAGTGACTCTAAAATATGAGTGTTTCCAATGGCTTCACCAACCACCCACAGCCTGTCTTTATTTACAAAAGGGCACAGGCTTTTCAAACAAAGCGATACTGGTGTTCCCAATGTAGGAAAGAGTTTGGGAAATTGGCCATAAGGAGAAGTTACGAAATCATCCAGCGTCTCAGAGATAGGAGGAGGCGGGCAAGGGCTCACGCCTCCACCAGCCTAACCGCCATGTCCATTATTTTAACATTTCGAGGGGAAGGCTGTCAACCACCAGTTAAGGCATAAAGTATGATAAAAGTAATGTGGACACACTTGTACAACTTTGTCAAAGTTAACATTTTTTTCTATTTGTTTCAGATTTTTTAAAAAATAAATAAAGATTAATTGTACAGTGAGAGATAAATGATAGATGATTAATGGATTGATGGGTGATTGATAGCAAGATAGGCAATAGATTATATAGATAATAGATAAATAGGTACTACTGTGTACTAGGCCATTAAAAAAATTAATGTTTATTTTATTTTTGAGAGAGAGAGAGAGAGAGATACAGAGCTTGAGTGGGGAAGGGGCAGAGAGAGGGAGACACAGAATCCAAAGCAGGCTCCAGGCTCTGAGCTGTCAGCATGGAGCCCGATGTGGGGCTTGAACTCACAATCCATGAGATCATGACCTGAGCCAAAGGCAGATGCTGAACCGACTGAGCCACCCAGGGGTCCATATATGAGGCCATATTTTATGCATCTTAAATCTACTTTCACATTTTCCTTTCTTTACAGCCCCATCAGGTAGGTATTACTTTTATATCCACCTTCGATGACACTGGTAAATATCTTGCCCGAATTTCCACTGCAGGCAACTCCATGTACCCCCTCAATTCCATTCCTCTGTTCCCTCCCTAGAAGGATCGTTAATCTGAATAGGACATTAATCCATTCCAAGCATTTCTAACAACATCAATATATATGTATATATATACATATATTTATGTGTGTGTGTGTGTGTGTGTGTGTGTGTATACATATATCCACTTACAACATAGAATATTAATTTGCATGGTTTTTAATCATTTTGGTAAATTGGGTTATAGTGTTCATTTCTTTTGCAAGTTTCCTCTCTTTCTTTCTTTCTTTCTTTCTTTCTTTCTTTCTTTCTTTCTTTCCTTTCTTTCCTTCTTCCTTCCTTCTTTCCTTTTTCTTTCTTTCTCTCTTTCTTCTTTCCTTCCTTCTTTCTCTTCTCTTCCTTTCTTCTTTCCTTCCTTCCTTTCCTTCTTTCTTTCTTTTTATCTTTCTTTCATTCCTTCTTTCTTCCTTCCTCTTTCTTCTCTTTCTTGTTTTCTTTCCTTCCTTCCTTCCTTTCTCTCTTTTCTTTATTTCATTTTTCTTTCTTTTCTTTCTTTCTTTCTTTCTTTCTTTCTTTCTTTCTTTCTTTCTCTTTTCCTTCCTTCCTTCCTTCCTTCCTTCCTTCCTTCCTTCCTTCCTTTTTCTTTCTTATTTCTTTCTTTCATTATTTTTATTTAATTTTTTTTCTTAAGTAGGTTTCAGGCCCAGTGTGGAGCCCAACATGGAGCTTGAACTCACAACTCTGAGATCAGGACCCGAGCTGAGACCGAGTCAGAAGCTTAACCAACTGATTCACCCAGGCGTTTTTCTTTAAATCAAAGGTATGTTCTTGAGACAGGAGCCTCTGGTCCCAGGTGCACACGTATGGGCTTATGCCTCCCGAGAGGACTGGATGCCTGTTACTGCACCAAAAGCATTCAACTTACCACCCTAGGTATGTAAGGACAGGAAGATGGGCTACAACTAAACACTGAGTAGTGTCAGGTCAGTGACCACGTAAAGACTCATAGGGCACATCCACATGGCAAGTGTCTGGTACAGACAGGTGTGCTGGGCCTGGCCCAGGTCCCCAGGCTGTGAGATGCCCTTCTCGTGCACAGAGAAGAAAGCAATGCATCGTAATACTCTTGGAGTGATTTCTCTCTTCGTTCTCCCGCATTAAGCACTTCCTTTACACATAACCCCGTGGATGAAGCAGTACCAGGGGCCTGAAACAATGGCACCAGCACCTTCCCTAAAAGAAACCTTGGGACAAATTAAAAGCTGCTTTAATAGCCACAAGAGGATAACGTGACGAAATGAGATAAACCAAAAGACGTCTTCTAAGCAGTATCGCAAAGCTACCCTTTCAGCCCCTAACATCTCTTAACGTAAGCATTTGAGACAATGTCTTGTCATCCCTTATGGACCCTGAGCACTGCCCAAAGCTGCTGGTCCCCTCTCTGGTCGGGTTTATGCACATGAGTGTATTAATTCACCTGACGAGACTTGCATGGAATCCGGCCAAGGAAGCTCGTGGAAAGCGTCCCGGCTTCTGAGCAGTTCTGTGAGCCGCTTTACCTCCAGTCCTTCGTTGTTGCATATGTTCAGGGACACCAGGGCTCGGGGGTGGTGGGTCCTGGTTGCAGGGGCTGGATGTGGAGGGGAGCAGCCAGGGGCAGGGGGGCGCTGGGCCCCTGAGAGGCTGTGTCAGGGCACATCACGGACATGCTGTCTCCATCTGTTAAGTGCAATTACACTGATGGGTCCCCTAAACGCAAGTAGAAGTACCAGGTCTGGAAGACTGAAGAAGAAAAGATCAAAAGGTGGGAGGTAGCTGTTTCAGGAGAACAGCTCGGACGCGGCCGTGGGGAAGGATGGGCTCATCTCCTGGGCGGTCAGTGTTCATCCTGCCACACGCATCTCATGTGTCTCCAGGAGGAGAGTGGTTCTGGCTCGCGGACAGATGGAGGGCTGTGGCAGGCATGCTACCGAAACAGATGGTCACGAGGGCACAGGTTCCCAAGGGATAGCCACGTGCTGCCACCACCAAAAGGGGAGAACCGCCAGACTTCAGAGGCAACGGCGTCCAGAGAAGGAGACAGTGCTGTGTGTGGCCATCCTGGTGCCATTAGTCAGTGGGATGACCCTGTCGTCCTCTGGAAGGAAGCACCTCCACCACGGTGACAAAGTCAGAGCTTCCTGATTATTGCAAAGAGCCGTCGCTTAGAACGGACTGCGTATCCCTATGTTGTGGACATCCCAGGTCATGCTGAGAATGTGTAAAACTCACAGCCCTTCCAGAAAAAGTCTCCAGCAGTGAGCATGAGAGCTGGGGTATACTTGGCTCAGGTTCTGTAGCCACCTGAGGACCTACTCCGTGCAGAACGCTTGCCACATGATAAGTACGCCAGACGCTGGAGACAGATTTTGGAGACGACGTAGTAATTCCTAGTCAGTTTTCTTTTTTCTTAATTTTTTTAATGTTTTATTTATTTTTGAGAGAGACAGTGAGAGACAGTACAAGCAGAGGAGAGACAGAGAGAGAGGGAGACACAGAATCTGAAGCGGGATCCAGGCTCTGCTAAGCTGTCAGCACAGAGCCCGACGCGGGGCTTGAACTCGTCAACCTCGAGAGATCATGACCTGAGCCGAAGTCAGCCGTTCAACCGACTGAGCCACCCAGGCGCCCCTCCTAGTCAGTTTTCAAGATGCACAGGTAGAAAAGTCAGCTCAGATTAAAGTTCTCACATGGGGGCGCCTGGGTGCCTCAGTCAGTTAAGCAACAAACTCTTGATATCGGCTCAGATCACAATCTCACGGTTCTGTGAATTTGAGCCCCACATCGGGCTCAGCACTGACTATGGCGAGCCTGCTTGGGATTCTCTCTCTGCCTCTCTCTCTCAAAATAAATAAATAAACTTTAAAAAAATTACAAAAAAATAAAGTTCTTGTTTGATTTCAGCGTGTTAGACTGTGTTACAACCACAGGATGACTTCAGGGCTCTTGAATTCCAGTTTAATTTCTTAAAAACTTCTTCAGGGCAGATTATGTGTGAGCAATTCTGGGAGATATTAACACTCATATTGTGGAGTAGTTATACCTCTCGGAATTTTTAACTTGGGGTAATTTTTAACACAGTGAGGACCAAACAGAATCATTTACAATGAAAATGAGAACTTTTTTTTTCATTGCAGAAAAAGAAAATCCTGATGAATTTAATAATGTAGTTTTAGGGAAAACAAGAAGGTGAGGAGAAAACTGATCTCTACTGTCACCCTGTCTAGCTGTGCATCCTTGGGCAAATTGACCAGCCTCTTGGAACTTCTGTGTCGTCATCTATAACATGAAAATTTACACCGACTTTGCTGTATTCGGAGGACTATCTGAAGTTAGGCAGGTCGTGTGGAAGGAAAAAAGTCTGGTGCATAATAGGCCCTAAAAACACCCGTGGACCCAAAGAGATCCAGAGTCTAAGTGAGATATCAAAACTCTGGTTTCTTAGAAGTCACGGTGGGGCTATTTTTTTTTTTTTTATTGGTTGTTTTTCATTTTGTAATAACTTGACTCCCAGGAAAATTAGTATATCATTCTGTTTAACTGCAGGATGTTCAGCTTGATGGGCCACCGAGGAGTTGTAAAGTGTTGTGTTTTCTCTCAGCTCCAAAATGAGTGGACCGCAGCTGGCCTTGAATTTTAAAGGCTGAGGGAGGGAAATTTTTGAGCCTTCTTCAAGTGTGATATTTGAAAAGCTTTGTTCAATGAGTCCCTCAAGTCCTTACGTGGCATGTTCCCACACCATAGACCTCTACAGAAAGGACTCCTCTCACGGGGTTTAGGTAGACCACGGAGAAATACGTCAGCTTCCCCCTGCCACCCTCCGAATCATGCTCACTCACAAGCGTGCTGTTTGTTCATCACGCCCACGATGCCAACGTCTGGGGGGAAACACTGAGCCTGGTTCTAAGTGCAGGGAGAGCCCCTTACGAACGCTTGCACTCTTTTCCTCCCGACACAGACTCCACTCACCTGTTATGGTGAAATAAATTCGTGCACACACGAGGCTAAAATAAAGTCACACCAAAAACTAGAAATCTAAAATTAAATATTTAATTAGAACTCTGATTTGCTTTAAAGGTAGGTGGCATTGCACAGGCTATATTACACTCTCTTTATAATGTTTTTGACAAAAAAGAAAGATACTGTTCATTTTAACAGGCCACTTTAATATTAATACATGTGTAATAGGGTCGGAACTGAAAATCAGCGAGGGGTGGTACATTGTACATTATTGGGAAAATTACAGTTCTGTATTTGTAAAAACATTTATTTTTTTAACAATTTACCTACATTAATCAAAAAATTACAGCATATTTAATAATTTTACAAATTCTTCATAAAAAATATATCTCTGTACAAAAAGGTCGTTTGCACCTACTTCATGTCAGCAGCATGTGGCGAGATGGTAACACGGGGCGGGCAGAGGTGCGATGGGTTTCCTGATCGTGATACCAGCGTTCTGTCCCCCTTTTTTTTTTTTATAATAGCTTTTTGTTGTTGTTGTTTACAAAATATCTTACAGAAGAAAAAAATTATTGCAGCTAGCCTGAAGAAAGGCAAGATGTGTGATACGAGCAGCAGTTTTAAACAGCTCTGAAGCACATAACCTGTGTTAGCATGGGGTCCTTCCCGCACACGGTTCTGGGCGCTTCCAGAAGGAGTCTTGCAGCCCCACGGCGGAAGGCGCGTGTGCGGCCCACCTGCACGCGCGCCTCCACACCTTGCAGGGGATCTGGTTCGATACCGCGCACACACCCTAGGAAGAAACTCGGCGGACTTCTCGCAGGACCATCGCATGTTGTATTTGGGGTTTAATAACATGCTCCAAAGTGGCAACCAAAGGTCGGGTTTACTGTGCACACAAAGGAAAATGATATCTAATATCTGATATGTGGTTGCCGCGTGTATGTATGTCCTGTCGTTTCAGGAATTTGTAACGTCATTGACCGGCAAGCAGGTCAGGGATGGGGGGAGAGAGACATTGATTCAGACTCTGAAGTCAGCATTTTGCACCTAGTTTGAATGACTCAAACTTAGATATATGTACAATATATTTATATGTATATATGTATGTATATATATACACCTAATATATATAGTAACCCTGTTCTCCCCTGCACACAGCGATCCTGGAACTTCCTCACGCTCCCTTTCCGTGCCCGGTCAGTGTGCGTGTTAGGAGCCTGGCTCTGGCTGACCTTGTCTAGTCTAAGGAGAAAAATCCGCGTAAGGGCCCCAGGCTGCAAAGCAAATCTCCAGTCACGTTATCAGGTTGGCCAGAGGAAAAGGTGCTGGGAATTCAGTGTGATACTAAGGAATTTGTCATTTGGAGTTCAAAAGGCAAAGAAGCAACTAGAAGAGGTCAGTTATGTCCTCCTAACAGCATAGGACCCTTCAAACGAGCAACGCGACAGTGGGCACCAAGGATCAAATATCCGCTAAAGCGTTCAAATCAAAACACATGACATGAAAGAAGGAACTATTATCCTGACAGGTTTTTGTGTCTTTTTTTTTCCTTTTTTTTTTTTTTTTCACTTTTGAAGCCCTGCATTTAAACATGCAACAGAGACACCACTATATCGGCCTTAAAGCTAGGTGTGAATACGCCCACAACAACAGGAATGAAACGCTCTACAGACGCTGCTCTGGAATGTGAGAAGGGAGACGTTTTCCATATGGGGGGTACGTACTTAAAATGCAAATAACAAAATAAGCACTGCCTTTTCAAAACGCTTTTAGCCAACAGTTATAAATAAAAATAAACTCGGTCTTCACTGTGGTTTTGTGACATCACCATCTCATTGCCATGTCTTCTATTTCATCCTTTGATGTTTTTATCCGCACTGGGGACCACACCCATTTCCTTCCTACCATCAATCAGAATTTAATGTATGAGAAATTTTAAACGTGAAAAATCCAGTTGTCTTTGCATCTGGAACTAGCACGAAACGAAGGACACAGTGATGTGTAAAATGTGTCACCGGGAAAGAGGAGCGTGTGTAATGTTTCCTGGCCTCTGGAGGGACATCTGATGCTCTGCTCCCGGACGGTTCCCACTGAGTTCAAGGGGCGACTGCACAGCACTGTCCTTCAATGCCACGGCAGAGAGTGGCGGTGCTCTGGAAGAACAAACTGTGATGCGGAGGGAAGGCTACAGTGAGCCAAGCCTCACAAGCTCATGAGCTATCTAAAATAAATTACTACTGACATTCTCCACGGCAAAGAGAAGCTCAGCAGCCCCCTGGCCACGCAATACAGCAGTACTGGCGGTCACGGGTGCTGCTAAAGGGAACAGAGTGTGCGGCAACTGCAAAGCCCTCTGGTGTTTCCCCCCTCTCGACATCGTCAATGACTTCAACACACATATGCAGCTAAAAGAAGCAATGATAAAATAAATCTCTTCAACACCACGTTTCCCTTTAAAACCTGTGCCATATCTGGGGATGTTTTCTTTTGCTAAGATGCCAACTGAACGGATGGATGGTGGATGTTTCGCTGGACAGCATGAGAAGATGCTTATATACAATGGATAGTGTGTATAAACCCTGTGTAAATAGTTTATTTTTTTTTATCAGAATCTTACTCAGTCATTCATAACACACTAGTGCAAAAAATTGTGCATCAAAAATTCTGCAATAGAACGGCTGACTGGGAAATTTGCAAATGGCCCTAGGAATGGACACCGAGGGGAGCCATGAGTCCTCAAAGCTTGTCAGGTCTCAGGAAGGACAGAGTGAAGCGTTTGTAGGTGTGTGCATCTCTACCAGAAAGGTTTCTTCAAGAGAGCTCTGTTGTTGTTGTTGTTGTTGTTGTTGTTGTTTTTCAGAGTATTCATATTTATGGGGGTTAAAAAAACAAAACAACATATTGTGGTGCTATCATTTTATCACCGCACCCAGGGGATGTATCCACGTGCCCAGAAGATTGCATTGAAAGGCATCCCAGCCACACAGAAATACGAAAGTCTGAGGCATTAAGTACAAAGTATTGGCGTGACTCGGCAGTCTTCCTTGAGTGTGCCTTGATCCCGAGCAGATGAAGCCAGGCATGGAGAATCCACGTTCAGAATGCAGGTCTCTGTGTCACCCGATCCTCAGGAGACTCTGGCGCACGTGACTGGAGATTCCCGCCGCACGGACGCCAGCAGAAGATGTGAAAGATCACCGCAGCAAAGCCAAGACTAGAAGGGAGAGTGGTATGTGGCACCAAAGGAGTTACTGCTTGTCCGACAGAGGTATGGCTATGAATCAGTCCTAATGGGGCACTGAGGGCTATACCACTGTGCACACTGTGTTCAGAGTTGTGTCAAACCGCACAGCCTTTGCCTCTGTGGGTTTTAAGTTTGTATCATACATAGGGTTTTCAAATGAAGCTTGTCCATTGCTGTTTTCGTGTCCGGCATAGCCGTTGTATTGAACTTTTGGTCTCGTTCTAGAGGGGAAAGAAGGAACAGACCGTTAGTGCCCAGATTTCAAGAAAAGAGGCACAGCAGCTGGGGCCTGAGTACAAGACGTCACGCCCGACTCAGCAGGGAAACACACACACACGGCTGTGGGGAAGGGTGTGCGCCGCCACGCTCGCAGACCTTTCTCTTTTTTAGAATTGGTTGTTGGGATTACAGAGACGGTTAAAAAAAATGGAAGCTGTTTCTAAAATCAAAGAGTTAGCTGCCGTTTACAAATATTCTTTGCAACACGGGGAACTCATCAATGCCGGGGTCCGAGTTTGGTTTAGACATTTGTCATTTGTAAGTTGTTATGACCCTGAGAAAGTCACTGTTCAGTCACTCTCTAAAACATAAGATGCTGAATCAAGATGTCAACCCTTAAGGACTGTTCAGATCAAATGAAAATAGGAACATAAACTTTAGTTCACTGCTATTATAATGTTCACCAAATACTAGCTATTCTTGTAATATAATATAACCAGTGACTAAGTTATGGAAAAGACATTCAACTGTTTGTCAAACTACTGGTTACAGGTTCTAATGAAAGAAACCCCCTGTGTATGATCTAACTTTAGAGAATTAAAGTAATTTTAGATGGAAAAGACTTAAAGCTGTCTAGTCTGTTCCCCCATGGTTTTTTTTTTCCAGAGAAATTATATAAGGCAAATACATCAGGTGGTAAAAACCCAACTTTAATGTCAACAACCACACTAGCAAAAACATTATTGATGCTTCTGTTTTAGTGACTTAGCTAGTAAATTTTCTTAACTTACGTTACGTTCATTGAGAAAAAAAGAGAATTCTGAGCGTGTACGTTTCACAGAATGAGGTTCCTGTCAACTGCCCCAGGAGTTGGAGACGTCTTTGACATTGAACTTGAAAATGCTCCAGTAGCAAAATGGAATAAACTAATGCAGCCAAACGTTAATGAAGTTAAAAGCTGGCTAAATCCCCTGTGTAGTCTCCCCGGTCAGGGGTCACCACCATTCCCAAATTGCCAGGGAAACCCCACAGAGTTGGATGGGACCCGAGGACTGCAGAGAACGAAGCGTGTGGGAGTCCTGCGTCAGGAGCCCTGGCTCTGACGGAGGAAACACTTCCAAGTGTAATGAGAGCAAGTCAGAAATGAGCAGGAATAAGGTTTTAACTCGAGAAACGTGGAGCCAACTGCTTAAGGAACTTTTACATCTGTAGAGGGTAAGAAGCCAGTGGAGAGCAAACGCATAGCTTGGTGCGTTCCCTGGGTACATGGCAATAACTCAAAGGAAAATGAACTTACGACGTGCCTGGGTGACCGGGCGTGGCTTGGTTGCTCCTGCAGAAACCCCCCAATTCTGAGAACTATAAGCAGTCACACTGGCTTAATGGCTCATGAGAGCCATGAGATTAGACAACCTTCTGTCACGTTCTAGACACAGCGCGGCCTCTCGGATGACAAGCATGATGGGCAACATTGTGCGAGAGCCACACTGAGATTAAATCCCACCAGCTTACAAGCGTGGAAATGAAGGAAGGGGTCAAATTCACAAAAGGACCAAATGATGTCTCCCTCCCCACTGCTTCCGTGGTCTGTGATCTACCCTCACGCATTTCCTGTGCTGACACACCAAATACTGAAATACAGGATGTTGTGGTAGGGAAGCTTCTAGGGTTAAAAGACTACAGCTGTGATATATACTGAATATTCTCCCCAATGTTATGTCATCTTAAAATTAAGATATAACAAAAAGTGCTGAATTGTGTAGGGCTGTTTTTTGAAAGGATCAGAGACGCGCCGGAGGGAGCTGTCTCTGAGACATACAAAGATCGGCCTTGCTGGGAGCTGCGTCAATGAGACGCTCACTGGCAGGTGGGGATGCCGTCTGACTCCTGCACGTGGGTCCCCCCGTAGGGGGGGCTTCCAGAGACCCCCCTACAGACAGGGAAATGTCAATAGGTGGGGTAAAAGAACTTTAATGAACTGCATGTTAACCTTGGGGTTAACATGAATGCCAAAAAAATTAAAAAAAAACAAAAAACAAAAATGAATTTGTAGGAATTACAAATTCCTACTGTATGTGTATCTATAAGGGTATTATGTTTCCTAGAGAACCTTGCGAAAGAAGATGTACTTTTAATTTACAGAATTAATGGTGTTTTATTGGATAAAGTGGCGGGATATCTTTTCTTACATTTACTACATTTACTACATTTTCAACTAGCCCCAAGGAGAAATTTGAAGATAAGGCTCACCAGACTTATATGCAGAGAATACTGTTTTCTCCATAATAATAATAATAACAATTATTAATAATTATATAATAATATTAGTTATTTGATTATATAATTATATGTCAATATATATTAAAACTTACTAATAATAGTAATTATTATTATTAATACAGATGTGTCAATCTTTAATTCTGTAAGTACCTTCTGAGATTCCTTTTACTGAATTATATTTTTAAAATAAGTACATTCCAACTAGAGGAAAAGTGTACACATGCACGTGATCACATAGCAATATAATTTTGAAGTGACATTCCTACTCTTTTATGTATTTTTGCAAAGCATAAGAAAGCACATATTTGAAGCTATGCTGTGAGACATTAAAAAAAATCCTACACCACATTTTCCTTTTTTTTTAAACCAGGATTAAACAGAAATATCTGTATCACATAAATGAACGTAGACCACATTTAACATACCTTAATATCTTAGAGAATCATGGTTTTTTTTTTCTATTTTTCTTTTGTTTTCTTAGTTTCTTGTTATTATATATAGGGAATACCACTATTCTAAGTAGTATTTTAGAACAGTTTGGCATATGCCATGTTCATCCAGGTAATATATTATCCAGAGAAAGACAACAAGTATAAGGACTTATAATTCCTCCACGGCTTTTTTTTGGTGGGGGGGGGGCAGGGATCCACATTAACTCCAAGGAAAGGATCTACTTCACTAAAGTTGTTTTTCTGCAATTTTGACCTGTTTCAGTTAGCAGGGATATGCAAATTAATAGATATTCAGAACACTTTTTCAAGCGATGGAACATGTGATATCTCTTACTACATAGTGAGAGCTCAAAGAAAGGAATAAACCCACAATTTCTAGATCACAGATTCATGGAGCTGAAAGAACTCAGAGACCATTCCGTTCAATCTTCTTCTGGAAGGTGGAAATGCTGTCTCAGTGTTCCCGACAACCGTCCACCGATCTTAAAAGTAGAAATGTAATCCTTTATTGTGTCTTTGAGTGGACTACGAAACACAGCATGTCACTTCTTCATCCATCTATTTATTCTCCTAAAGTTCATTACTCGAAGTCGCCCCGCTGAAAAAGTACGGCGGACAACGCAAAGCAAAGCCTTGCCATGTGGGCATCGTTAACGTCAGAGAGAAAACCGTGGAGCTGTGGGGAGCGTGTGACCGGGGGCAGTGTGCATTCCCCAGACCAGGGCCTCGCAAGCACGCCGGCGTTTTACGGTACCTGTGTTTGTAGAGGTAAAACGCAAATCCGGACAAAATCAGAGCGAAGAACGGAACGAGAATCGCAGCTGCGACCGAGCCGCTGCTAGTGCCGTGGTAATGATTTGAAGGCTCTTGGTCCGAGTTTAAGGGATCTGGAGAACAAAACGAATAATTAGTTTGCAGGTCCCGCGTTCATACTGGAAGATAAGCCTCTGGCAACTTTTATGAACGGGGCCCGAGCCTCCAAAGAGTTGAATTCCATCGATAGACGGACAGTCTTGTTGAAAGATTTTAACGTCTGTTAACGATCAAGTTACAAAAAATGAATTATTCCTTAATGGCCTTCAAGAAAACCATGAAAAAAATTTCACGTGTCAAATGTGAGAAAGGCGAAAGGGGCACCATACATTGTGACTTTGACTTTCGGTCAGATACATTTGCATTGAAACTGAAACTGAAAGCATCCATATGGTTTTGTCTATGTATGTGGACGTATCTATGGGTACCATTGGCTGTTATATCCTTTCCTAAGACACAGACTCCAGCGAAACGGTAGCTGATGAAATTACGTAAATATTCCAGGGGTCTATATAAATGACATTACATTCTCTGTATGCAAATATATTGGTGTAACCTCTTTCATTTTAGGTACATTGCAGAATTCGTTAGGGTTTAAGAATGCTCAAAAAAAGGATATAGCTCAATGTCATCATGCCAGTTTCCATGAGGACACGGAAGGATGACAAAACATGATCTCTGTCCATCGAAAGGGAAGGCGGATGTAAACACCTCAAATGTCATGAAAGTGACGTAACTATGAATTTATAATCCACGTGTACAGAGTGTCAAATAGATGCACGGCCAAGACAGAGATGCAAACGATGAAAACTCAAATTAGAAAACACTTCTCAAGCGATTCCTTCCAGATAAGAAAGTTTGATCTAGGGGCGCCTGGGTGGCTCAGTCAGTTAAGCGTCCGACTTCGGCTCAGGTCATCATCTCGCGGTCCGTGAGTTTGAGCCCCGCATCAGGCTCTGTGCTGACAGCTCAGAGCCTGGAGCCTGTTTCAGATTCTGTGTCTCCCTCTCTCTCTGACCCTCCCCTGTTCATGCTCTGTCTCTCTCTGTCTCAACAATCAATAAATGTTAAAAAAAAAAAAAAAGTTTGATCTAAACTGTTTACCCATAACACAAAAATTGAAATGTATTTGGCTTAATCGCTTGAGCTCACTCAATGCACGTGTGTGAGGGATTATATGACTGGGGTCATCTGGATATAGCAGAATTGTGAAAAATCAGTTGACCTGCTTTTAGAAGTGTAGTACCAGAATTTACGGAATGTTAAATACAAGAGAAGTTTTGTTTCATTTTCTTTCACAAACCATGAATGTAAGTAAACAATCAAATATATTTAAATAGCTTTTCAAACAAAAAATCCTCTTTTCTCATTAAAAACATGGCAAGAATTTGACTTGTCGTCGCATCCACAGATGCCGGATTGCGCTACTCCTTACCGTCCTAAGTTCTAACATGAACATATTTTATAATTGATGTTCGCTCTTGTAACTTGACCATATTTCTTTGAGATCCTTCCTCATCAGCACATATGAATCAGGTAATTTTTCACTTTCAGAGGCATCCACAGCCCCCACGCGAGGGGAAAATGCCAGATACATGTTCTCTCTAAACTCACGCCCCATTGGATGCCCCCACCCTGGGCAGTGAACTGGGGTGACTGACGCACAGCACCGAGGTGGCTCGGAAGCCATCCCATGGCTGTGGCGGCTGGGGAGCCTTGAGGACAATGCTGAGTGTCCCCGGTGGTGGGTCCAGCAGCAGTGGTGCAGCAGTAACAGCCAGCACCCAGGGTGACAATGTCCCGTACAGGGCGCCGAGGCAGCCCGCTCAGATGGCACCCACTCCACAGACTTGCGGTGACACTGAAAGGTCAGGACGCCTCCCTGCCTCAACAGTGCACACGGCACACGGCCACAAGTCCAGCAGGACCTGTGTGTACTAGGACAGGAGTTGCACTGTGCCAAGGGAGCTCGTCGGCTAGACTTCCTCTTGAACCCCCAGTGCCTACGAGAGAACTGAGGACACAGTAGTGGCTCAATACGTGCGTGTCAAGTGAAAGACGGTGCTGCCATGTGGTACTTCAGCATCTATCAGTTTCCATGAAGTTACCACACCTCATTCTCCAGCTTTCTGTAGTTCTGTGAATCTCTTTGCCTCATTCTAATGAATTTGTGTTCTGCTTAAATTAACCGAAGTTACTTTCTTGTTATCCACAGACAAGACTGTCTACGTTTGAACATAATAGGCATCGGACTTCTCATCAATAAAATCGTGGAAAATCAACCTGCCGCAAGAGACTGCCCATCGTAACACAGAGTAACATAAAAGAAGGTCTTTGGGAGCTTCTCAATGATCACGCCTTCAGGGGCTCCTGGCGAGTTTCATGTATTTACTCTCGTTTCAAAGATTTAAAGGGTAATACACGCACATGATAGTCATTAAAATGGCACAAAAGATACACAAATAATATAATGTTCTTCCAGCAATGGACTATTAATATATACGTTTGTTTCCCTTTCATACTTTTCTAAAAACATGGGAATACGATATACATTTTTTGTGTTTGGCTTTTTCAACTTAACCATCCATCTTTGAAATTTTTCCATCAGCACACATGAATTAGATTTATTTTTTTTTAGGTGTATAGTATACTATTAATTGGATATGCCAGAAATTTTTCAGCCAGTCTACCTTTGAAGGACATTTAGGCCATTTCTAGTATTTTTCTAATGTCGCAATGAAATCTTTTTTCTGTAGCTACCCAGCAGCAGGAGTCTAAACATACAGGATAAATTCTATGAAGCAGAATCATTGCCTACCAGAATTTGTAACTTTTCGCGTGGCTAAATCTTACCAGATTGTCCTCCAAAGTGGTGCTCTGATTTCATTTCAACCATTATTTCATGAGGAGTGCTACAAAACACTTGGGCAATTGTGTGGTATCCAACCGCTAGCCTCTTCCCCTCCCATGCCCTCCCCTCCCATTGGCCCTCCTCCTTCATACTATCTCTACTCTTGCTGCTCTGACAAATCATTTGTTCCTCATTCACATATCTTTGTTTAAGAACGAGGGCAAGCATCTCTTCACATGGAATAAGCTAGCCATTCAATTTTTTAAAAGATCACTATTGAAAGAACTTCATACACTAGAGTACCCACCCAAAGTACATCTAAATCTACCGATAGACAAAGATCGTATATATATCTATATATATATATATATGTATGTGTGTGTGTGCGTGTGTGTACATGATATACATATATGTGTACACACACACACAATGGGATATTACTCAGTCAAAAATAAAAAAAAATTAAAAAAAAAAGAATGAGGTCTTGTCATTTGTGACAACGTGGATGGACCTGGATAGTATGATGCTGAGTGAAATAAGTCAGACAGAGAAAGACAAGTACCATAGCTTTCACTCACATGTGGACTATAAAAATAAACAAAAAACAAACAGACCCTTGAACTGAGAACAAACTCGTGGTTGCCAGAAGGAGGGTGGATGGGGGGGGTGAAATGAAGATAAAGGGGATGAAGAGGCACGAATTTCCAGTTATCAAGTAAGTCACGGAGATGAAAGGTACAGCTTAAGATATACTATGAACAATAATGAAATAACGTCGTATGGTTGGCAGATGGTGGGCGCACTTATCGTGGTGACCCCTGAGCAAGGAATGGGCTTGTGGAAACACTGTGTCCTACACCTGAAACTGACATAACGTTGCATGTCAATTTCAATAACAAATAAAACATAAATAAAAGTAATGAAAACAAAAAAATAATAATAATACAGCAAAGCTACAGTCCACAGTCTTTTAGTATGTGCACATGGTGTCATCATCATCGTTACGATTTAAGAACACTGCTGTCTTCCCTAAAGGAAACCCAGCATCCTCACCCTCCAACCTCTAGCTCCAGGCGACCACTGATCTGTTGTCTGTGTCTTCAATCTGCCTATTCTGGATGGTTTGTTTGTTTGTTTATTTAAAATTTTTAATGTTTATTTACCTTTGAGACAGAGACAGAGTGTGAGCTGGGGAGGGGCAGAGAGAGAGGGAGACACAGAGTCAGAAGCTCCAGGCTCTGAGCTGCCAGCATAGAGCCCATCGCGGGGCTCCAACTCACGAGCTGTGAGATCATGACCTGAGCCGACGTCGGCCGCCCGACCGACTGAGCCACCCAGGCATCCCTGGGTGTAATCCTATGACGTGTATTTTGTGTGCGTGTGCATGGCTCCTCCTCCTAAGTATAATGTCTTCAAGACAACATTCCATTGTATGGATATAGCACGCTTTGTCTGTTCATTAGTTGACAGACATCTGGTGGCTTCCACGTCTGGGCTATTGGCAATAATGCTCCTACAAGCATCGGGCACACAGTTTTGTGTAAACATATGTTCTTACGTGTTCTGCTGGCCATGCCTGCAGGAGTGAAATGGCTGCATCTTTTGGTAACTTTCTGTGTAACTGCTTGATGAAGGGCCAGGCTGTTTTCTACAACACCTGCACCACGGTTACATCCCGTCCGTGAAGTAGGACAGCTCCAATCTATCCACAATTTTGCCGCCTCTCACCCACGTGACCATCACCATCCCAGTGCTGTGAGATGGTGCCTCACTGTGGTTTATGTTTCCTGAATGACTAGTGATGTTGAGCAGCTTTTCGTTGCTTATCGATCATGTGTACCTACGTGGAGAGAGGTCTATTCAAATCCTTTGCTGACTTTTCAGTCAGGTTATTTGCTTTTGTTTTCTTGAACCTGAAAAGCCCTTTCTGTATTCTGGAATACAAGTCGCTTAACAGATGCATGTTTTACACTGGTTTTCTTCCATACTGTTTGCGTGTGTGTGAGGTTGGGGGTGGGGTGATTCAGTTTAAATGGGGAAGCCAATTTATCATTCGGGTTCCTACTGGAGTTTCTGCATTAGGGTGGTCTTTCAACCCACGCTGGTTTAGTATCCATTTAAAGATCACTGTCTTCCCGTTTATCTACTGACTGTAGATGATTAAGAGGCGGTTTATTTTCATCCATGAAAATAGGGGTTAGCCAAACTAGTGAGGTGAACTATTTTTCCTGACAATAAACTCATCATCACGTGGGAATAAAGATTCCGTGCTAAAGCAGGCTGCTATTTTGTCGGATCAGGAAGACATGGTGTCATGCAAGGAAAGGGGCAACAGCACAGTGATTGTACAGGCCGGGTTTGTCGGGTGAGTGAACCCAGAAGTCCACGGGGGATGGCGCACAGCTCCCCGGGGCGTCCTTAAGCGGAATTACTGGAGCATGTGCCGGGGGAGAAGGGAGGGTGCGTAACTCTAGGGTTTTTGGCTTAGAGCAAGAACAAACTTGACTCATCATTAGCGTTGGTCCAATGCATTTACTCTATGTCATTACCTCAAAATAACATAGCCCAATTTAAAGTACCACTGCTCACAGTGTAATTTAAAGCTCTTCTAGTTGGAGCTACTGCATTTGGAATGGTGGCATTAGAGTAGTTTACGATTGATTACTCTTTTTGGTAGAGTTTTTATTTTAAATATAATAATACACAGGTCGGTATGTGTATCCTTTGGAACCCCTCAGTATCTTGGTAAGAGTCTTATGAACTGAGTCGTGAGTGATAATCGTCACAAAATATTATACCCCTGTGCCTCTGAAAGGCAGCTCAGAGGTCAAAGCCTATATGGATAGAATGTTCCCCCCCAAATTATTATGTTAATAGTGTTCTACAAGTAGGGTATAAAGTAGTCTCTGTTGTTCAGGAGAAATGGGATACTAATCGCATTACAAACATGTGTTTTCTCATCCCCGTCAGCAGTGACAACCGCAGCGACTCTCGTGTGCAAAGAGCTTCTGCGTGCACAAAGTGAACGCTTTCCGCTGTCTCTTAATCTTCCCGACCACCCAGAAGGGACTTCCCCGCTGAGATGTCAGATGAAGACAGGCCCAAGAAGATTCTAACTCCTCCTCGATTACAAAACTAGCTGGTAGATGGGGGAAGAGTCTAACCTAGTGAATTTTTTTTTCACATATTTTCTTTCTCCGATAACTAAGGTAGAAATCAAGTAGCAGAGAAAGATCGGAAGCAGGGAAGGAGGATCTATCTGTCTATCTGCAGTAAACTTTTTCTTCCTGTAGAAGTCATGCGCCTCTCTCCCCGTCAATATACGGTCCTCACTTCTTTAGTGAAATACACTGAAATAGACTGCTTCTTATTAAATGTGACACATTGCATAAAACTATTGATTTAAGCAACTATGATAGTCGTGTGAGGTGCACGAGGAAGAGTTTTCCACACTTGACTGGCTGGAATCTCTAAAGGCAGAGTCTCTGGGCAGAGTCAGCTTGTCCTTCTCTGCCTGGACACCTCCCGAATGGAGGGCCCTGGTGTCTGTTTCTACTGTTCCCCAGAATAACTGCTTTAAAAATCTGATGTTCTGGGGCGCCTGGGTGGCGCAGTCGGTTAAGCGTCCGACTTCAGCCAGGTCACGATCTCGCGGTCCGTGAGTTCGAGCCCCGCGTCGGGCTCTGGGCTGATGGCTCAGAGCCTGGAGCCTGTTTCCGATTCTGTGTCTCCCTCTCTCTCTGCCCCTCCCCCATTCATGCTCTGTCTCTCTCTGTCCCAAAAATAAATAAACGTTGAAAAAAAAAAATGTATTGAAAAAAAAATCTGATGTTCTGATCATTAAAAATGGAAAACCTTTGTTGCCATAATATACGTTTCTTAGAAGTTAAAGATTTTTCCGTGCTTTCTTGGTTACTCCGAGTCCCTCTTCTAATTTTCTTCGGGCTATGTAGTTTACTTAGTTCCTTAATTGAGCTTCACCTTTGCTTCACTGTCTCCGTGTTTTTAGTATCTCTTCATATAGTAAGGATACTAGTTCCATATCTGGCCTACATACTGCATTCTTCCAGCTTTGTATTTGTCAGTTCTGCTGTGCCCAGCACTTCTTTTCCGTTCTGTTGTAAAACACGGTTGTCTCTCCCAATACTTTTGTTTATGTTTCCTCCAAGGTCGTGGCCTTTCCATTTCTTTTTTTTTTTTTTTAATTTTTTTTTTTCAACATTTATTTATTTTTGCGACAGAGAGAGACAGAGCATGAACGGGGGAGGGGCAGAGAGAGAGGGAGACACAGAACCGGAAACAGGCTCCAGGCTCTGAGCCATCAGCCCAGAACCTGACGCGGGGCTCGAAGTCACGGACCGCGAGATCGTGACCTGGCTGAAGTCGGATGCTTAACTGACTGCGCCACCCAGGCGCCCCTCCATTTCTTTTCAGCACAATAACGTGAAGGCCAAGTTGACATGTGCTTTAAAAAAATAACATGCGAGCATTTACCTTGCCTTTCCAGCTTGAATTTTCCGAAGTCTTTTCCATGAATGTCACCTTGAAAAGTAAATCCTCCCCTTTCAAGTCCCGATGACACCTGATGCGCATGAAGAAGAGAAAAACAATGCATGGTGGGGATTAATAATACTCTGTTCTGTCATAATAGAACTGTATTCTCACAGCTAGATAGTACAGGTTAAATATGGTGTCTTGTGTCCTTCCTTCCAGTGACACGTCAGTAGTTAAAAACTGGAAAAGACACACGTGAACGAGGACTAACATAAATCCTCACTATTTCATTTTCACCACGAAACAGGTAGTAAAATCGAGAACATGTGCATGGGTTGTAAAGGGGGACAGATACAGGAATTCATATATAACCTACGTCATGTTAAACTCACTTTGTGACACACTCTTGGCTGGGGAGCATCACATGAGGCCGCATACCCTTATGTCGGACAATGAGTCGGCACACAAACGATGGTTAACATGCAAAGAAGGATATTAGTGGCGCTTGTTAAATTTCTATCTGGGAATGACTTTTTCTTTAGAACTGTCAGAGCGGTTACGCAATGGCCATGTTCAGACTTTGGGGTGGAATGTGGGGTTACATACAGGACGTGGGTCTAAGTGCCTGTTCTGTCCCTGTGTGATGACCATTCACAGGAAGTACTTACATAGCCATCTAGTCCCCAGTTGTCATTTTCAAACTTGCTTACAAAAATATCTGCGGGACCTTTAATTTGGAAAGCCTTCAGAAGTAAGCGAGCTTCTTCCTTCTTGTAAACACCTACGGAAAATCAAAGTCGGTTATTCTTACGTTGGAGGATTTCACAAGGGTTAATAACTCAGGCGTTCAATCCGTTTGATTTGGAATATGGTACAGAGAGGACGATATCAGAAGTAATGGAAATTATTGCTGTTATTTTTATATTTGAGCCTCAGTACTTCTGTTTTCCACGTACCCATCCGCCGCATTGCATTCGACGTCTTTATCCCACAGAAAGAATAAAGGTTATACACACTCAGTTATATTATTGTTTTAATCTAGCTTTTGAAATTCATATTTTGGTCATTTGTGAGGACAAAGAGACCCCAGCCAGAAGCCCTAATATGGCTACCTCTGGTTTTGTTTTTGATGTTTATTTATTTTTGAGAGAGAGAGAGAAAGAGAGAGAGAGAGAGAGAGAGTGAATAGAGGAGGGGCAGAGAGGGGGGAGACACAGAATCGGAAGCAGGCCCCAGGCTCCGAGCTGTCAGCACAGAGCCCGACGCGGGGCCCGAACTCAAGAACCGGGAGAACATGACCTGAGCCGAAGTCGGATGCTCGACTGACTGAAACCCAGGTGCCCCTAAGTATGGCTCCTTCTAAAGACAGAGTGAACAGCACGGCGAGCGGAACGTGCCGAGCATCCCTGAGTAGCCAGTGCGGTTCTGGGCAGGACAGACCGCACAGTCACACCTCTCGTGAGGCGGCGAGAATGACACTGAACAGTACGGCCCAGAGATGAGGTGACGTGGCAAGGTGCAGGCGGGGACTGTGCTGACAGCCAGAGCTCGCTCCCCACCCCATGGAGGAAGTAGGTAAATAAGTAAACAAACAAGTACTAAATGAATAATAACCTAAAACCAAAATGTCCTCCGTGCCGAGAACACGGGGTCAAAGGAAGATGCTGCTGCCCGTTCCAGAAAACGCGGCCGTGAGCTACTAATTCACACTGACTGCTAACTAACTAGAGAAGGTAATCTCTACTGTCCCAGGACCCGGTCTCCGCTGGCGGGCACACAGGGTGGAGGGGAACCAGTGGGGCCCAGCTGACAAGAGGGACTGCCCCAGGCCTTCTGGGCTGGTCTTCCTCCCGCCCTCAGCAGCTCCGTGTTGTTGGCATTACATCCAACCTCTAAAACTCTGAAGCCCAGGGCTACCCGCTCTAGGGAGACGTAATGAAATACGGTCTCATGTGGCAAACAGCCACCCCCACAGGGCCTCAGTGTGGCCGCGGCTGGCTCTGCACGCTCTGCCTTCCTCCTCCCTCCCTCTTCAGGGAGCCACCTTCTTTGAGAAAGGAATACATCCAAACTCTACCAGGAGAAAGATTAAGCCAGGCAGCTGGGGAAGACTGAGGGATCTGGACATTTAAAAAAGTTCCGGGGCACCTGGGTGGCGCAGTCAGTTAAGCGTCCGACTTCAGCCAGGTCACGATCTCGCGGTCCGTGAGTTCGAGCCCCGCGTCGGGCTCTGGGCTGATGGCTCAGAGCCTGGAGCCTGTTTCTGATTCTGTGTCTCCCTCTCTCTCTGCCCCTCCCCCGTTCATGCTCTGCCTCTCTCTGTCGCAAAAATAAATAAACGTTGAAAAAATTAAAAAAAAAAAAAAAGTTCCTGGGTGGATTTTGATGACGGGTACCTTTGGGCACGTGGCCTAATCACTTTTCCAGTTATAGGTTCAACGTAGGAAGTCGCGTGTGGCTGCGAGACCGTGGGCTCACAGATAGGTGCCTGCTAAGCCTCTCGGAGTTGAAATTATTTTGCTTTTCCTCAATCCATAGTATGTATATTGGGACGTTTTCCACTTCCAGGAAGCAGGAAAGGGGAATGTGAGGAAGGGGGGGATCTTGAGCCGCCATCATACTTTCCAGTGACTGGCGAAAGAGCAGGTGCCATTCGGGGCCCCTTGGTATCCAGGCCCAGGGCTGGGCCTTGAGAATAGCTCAGAGAAAATCCCTACCCTCATGGAGTTGGTCTATAGACAAGGATACATAGCTGTGAGAAGTGAAATAAATGAGAAGATTTTAAAAGACATTATATAGTCAGAAAGGCGATACACTTATTAAGAGTGTGGACTGGAGGTTCCAAGTGCTGAAATCCTGATTTCTGAGTTCAAATTCTACCTCTACCAAAGCACCTTAGCAAAGACACTTCATTTTTCTGGGTCTTTCTCTCTCTCTCTCTCTCTCTCTCTCTCTCTTTCTCTCTTTTATCATCAGTAAAGAATGTGTCTGATAAAGATGCTCATATCATAGGACAGACGTAAGAATGAGGAAGATAATATATGTTAAGTACATAAAATGGGGTCTGGCATACAAATTAGAGCTGCTTTTATTTTAACAGCAGGATGACAAATAAATCTCACGAGGACCGTGAGTTGAAAACAAGGATACTGACACAATGAAGTTTGGAGACATGTAGCTCTGGATATAAATCTTACATCTTTGACTTCGTATGTCACATGCATAATCGCAGGCACATTAATCAGCTTTTCTGGGCTGGTTCTGTAATCTTTAAAAATGAGAATACCAACCTACCATGGCTATCGAGAGGATCCCATGAGACACAGCTTATGCAAAGCCAATGTAATTTTAATGAGCATTTAATAAAGGGTAGCTCCCTCCTCTGTGAGGAGATAAAGGGTCTGCCTCGGCCCACATTCTTCGTTGAGGAAGATGGAACTCCTCAGGGCCTACCTGTCAACTTCAGCTCCACCTGCGAGGCTTCGAGGAAGGTCGCGTTCACCTTACTACTTGTTGCGTTGAACCAGTCAACTGTTAGAGTTGCAGGTTGTCTTTTCCCTAAATATTCATAATATCCCTTCCACACTGAATTGATAAAAAATACATCTGAAGGAACTGTGGGGGGGGAAAAAACCAGAGGAATGTTAGCGCCCACAGAAAAATTAAATTTAGATATTCTACAACACAGAGGCATAATACGTGTTGAGTGAGAGATCACAGATCATGACGGTGATGAGGACAGAGATGACCTATCCCAGGCCCTCTACGGCATGTATGCGATGGAAGTGGAATGGGGAGGGAGACTGCTGTGAGATGCACCCCCACGTCGGTGTGTTGATTTGTGGGAGAAACACTTTAGGTGCCAAAACGTTCCTTTTTTAACGGAGCTGCCAAGGCCAGAGGGTGCGGTGAACCAGAGCGACTGATATGAGGTGAGGTTATTGTGTCTGATAAGAAGATGTTAGACTGACCCGGGAAACCACGACCGGTTGTTCATTAACATCCAGGTCGACTCTTTGGAAGACACAGAAAGCTCAGAGAGCTGGCACGTATCATCCACCAGGAACTGCCTGCCCTCGGGAAGCTTGCACGTCAAAGCGCCAGTAAAGGGCGCTCACCCAGCTCATAAAGACACAAGTGCTCTGGGGGGGGGGGTCTTTATCTCCCAAGGAGATCCCAACCCACCCACCCAAGCTCTTCTATTCTTGTGAAAAACATCCCTGATTGCTAAGAAAGTTAGAGGCAACGATGTCAAATGCCATGGAGGTACGTAAAGATGCATTTCTCCCTAAATCAAGGTTTTTAGCGAATCCACTTGCTGGAACCAATTTCTAGGACACACATAGACTATCTACGTTCATGTGCCCCTTTCAGCGCAACTGGCCATCGTCCTGTCTTGCCAGCTCGGCCGTGCCTATGAAACCGAGCCCGGCTAGGGAGGCAGCCAAGAAGGAGCGAGCGTCGGCCCTTCCCGTGGCTCTCAGTAGACTCAGCTTGTGATCATAGTGCTTTTTACAAGTTTAGGAAAGGTTAAAAACTACAATACCAACATGACATAGCACACATCTGCTTATTGATAAGGGACGTTCAACACGTCTGCCTGTCTATCAGTGGCCATTTTGGGGCCCAGTTTTCAGGCAAACCTGAAAAGACTGTATTTTCCTTCACTAAAATTAACAGGCTTTAGAATCCTATCAGGGTTGTTTTCCCTACGTGAGAATGTACCCACTCGGCTGAAGCTATGAATGTACTGGTTCCAGCCCGTCGCTGACGAGTGGCTCTTGTTGGTGTATCAGAGGAATGGGTCATGCCTGACTGGGTGCAGGAAGGTGTAACCAGCGTCCCAGAGCTGGCTTGCTTGTATCAACATGGCCATCGGCAATGTGGTGACGGTGATCCCTGGGGGCCTTCTCATCTGCTCTGTTGCTGCTGGTTTGCAGCGTGACGCGACAACCGCAAGCGGAGATTTGTTACGACGCGCTACCTCAACAGACAACCACAATTAGCAAGTCCCCTCGGAGGGAATGAGGAAAGGTGGACGGGTGAGGATGGAAGCACCTTCAAAATAAAGTATGCAAGTATCTCAATATCTGAAACAAAAAAATAAGCAAACAAAAACAGAACAAACACACCATCACAGCAACAGATTGTGTTTCCTTTCACTGAGGACAATGTTGTCTGGATAAAGACTATTGATTTCCGTATTCGGTTTGTAAATAACATTTGAATACTGATTTTAAGAAGGAGTTTTCACACTTCATGGCGTACGTTGGAAAAATTCCTTTCATCGTGTCGGGACGTTGGCCCGGCTGAGACTGCGGTGTTTTAACACAGCGTTGTGACTCAACGGGAGCGTTACACATACGGTTTCCGCATCTGATGTCAGGACAGACCTTCCTGTCTAAAAGATCGGTGTTCAGAGTCGAATAAGGAAACTACTAGGGAAATGACCTTATATATGTACGCAAGTTTTCTATATCTGTTAAAAAAAAAAAGGTTGACTTACATTGTAAGTTGGGGACACAATGCATGATGAAAAGAGTCTCTAACTTTATAACACAGAGGATTTGGAGCAATAAGCATGTCGCTTAGGAAACAGGACTGCATCTTTCGATTTTCTGTGTGATGCATCTAGCAAGGCACCACATACAACAAAAAGCATTGGGAGGCAGAGGATGCCTGGATTATGGAGATACGGGGGGAAAAATGGAGCTCTACATCCGATCGGCTCAAGGAAACAGCTGACGTTGTCCCAATGCCTCATTCACATCAGCTTCCGGTTTAGAGGAAAGAATCGCAACCCTCTTTATAAGGCTCTCCATTATATCACATCCTATGGTCAACAGTTCGGGTCCGCTTCTGCCCACACAATGCCCGAGGCACCTTTTAATGAAACCGTGTGTGATCGTGCCGCAGGTTCTCGTCTTAAGTAAAGTGTTGTCATTCCGTTAACAAACCACCGTCAGGAAAGAAAGAAATGTGCGTGGGCTCGGCGCGCTAGGTGGCTGGATCGCTAACCCACTCAGGGTCTAGTGGAGTCGGAAGTTTGCGTGTTAAAATCTGTTTCCCTGTACAGAGTAGAGAACAAATCGCTTCTGTGGTTGAGATCTAGGACTGTTCTGGAATACAAACCTGGAGTTTTAGTAACTGTCTCATTAACTTCTCCCACTCCTTTACCTACAAGTAAAAAGACAAATTGTCATTTTCAAAAACACTTATTTTTGAATAAGTTTGAAAAAATGTCAAATTGAGGCAATTTTCCTTTCTCCAGATTGCTTGAAGGTACAAAATAGGAATGTCTTCTACATATCCATTTAAACCCCTACATTCATAGCAGAGTATCCTTTGTGTTTGTCAAAAAAAAAAACAAAAAAAAAAAAACGGAGCTTAATGGTGAAAAGCAGTGCAGCTGTGACAGGTGCATGTCTGTGTGGTGTGCTACAACAGAGAGCCTTGCAAACGAGGGTGGTTGATATCCATTTTCTCGATCCTATTTGGGATATGCTAGCCACCAGTGAAAGGTGGCATGCAGAACAACTAAGATTTCGTAGCCTCTCTTGACTTTCCAAGTCCTCACCCAAATCAACGGAAGTACAAATCGACAGATACTGAATAACACCAAATTGTTTCCCTTGCAGGACGTTTACTTTGGTCTATCACGTCGGATTTAACTCAAAATCTCTTAGCATTTATAGGTCTGCATCAAACTACAAATTACGTTTTTAAAGTTCGCATTCTTCTGCATCTGATGGAGGAGGGCAAGGGAGACAAGAATTCCTAATTTGGAAATATAAATAGGCTTCCAGAGAATAAAACTAAAGTCACAGATTTTATCACACTCCATATTTAGTGTTTATGCCATGTAGTATTTGATGCGTGTGTGATCTGTGTTTGGTGGGGAATCTCAAAGTTCAGCTGTCATCAGATCTGACCCTGTCTTAGGGCTCTCATTTGTAAGTACACAAATACGTGGGTAATTGATGCATCACCTTCGTGCCAATCGCTTTTGTCATTTGAACCAATGTAAAGAATACACAGATGTATATCCCACCACCAAACAGCCTGTGGTCTTAAAAATAACGGCTTCGTTTATATATCCACCAATCCTGGGTGATATTTGCCCATTTTCATTAAAAAAAAAAGACATTTTCCAAAAATATGGTGTGTATTATTGGCCTTTTAGCGCATGATGTTTTTCTTGAAGCAGACAGCTTTTCTCTGCGGCTTCAAGTGTGACTAGCAAATAGTAAAACCTACATGTCTACTTAGACTATGCCTCCGTTGTACCAAACACTTACTACGCACACGTTCACACACACAGCTCACCACATGAAGCACAGATTCAGCTGGGGTGACCGACATCACTTCCATGATGCTGTTTACTTATGGATCTTACGACGGAAGCTAGCCCGATGGGCAGTTGATGCTCCTGCTAGGGGCTCGGCAGGGAGGGGCGTTCACTCCCTCCTCAGCGACTTACTTTTACAGACAGGCGATTTTCCCGTCCACCTCATATCTGCTTTACACGTCCTGTGCTCAGACCCGGCCGCGAGGAAGAACCCCGGATGGCAGGTGTACACCAAGGTGTAACCGAAGGCGGGGAGGTCTATCGCTCTCACGTCCGCGTGGGCTGGCGTTTCTGGCTGTCTGCAGGCGTGGGCTGAAACGGCACGCGTTCTGTTAGGAAGCACTGGCACTTTGCGTAAGATAGAGTTAGAGTCTAAAGAAATCAGGAACTGCGGCAAAATTTGGAAGTGGCTGCAAAGTCAGGTTGCAACTTAAAATTGAGAGTATGGTATCTTGAAATATCCCCAATCTTCCCTGAAACTTTTAACATCATGAAAACTTGGGATTTGCCAGCTCTCCCTACCTATCCTTCCTTCCCTACCCCCTCCTCTCTCTACTCTCCCTGTCTGCATATAAGTAAGTGTGTGTAATTAATTACGTGTAGAAATTTAGAATATAAATCAGAGCGCTGAAATAAATAGATCACTTCTGATATACTATTAAGATAAATGATATGTCACATTTCCTTAAAAGACCATCCCTATAAGCTAAACACACAGATGGGCACAGGTATAGAAATACACTTTTTGTAAAATTTATATTTCATTTTAATTTTTTTAAGTTTATTTATTTTGAGAGGGAGAGAAAGAGACTGACAAGATGGGTGGAGAGAGGCAGAAAGAGAGGGAGCGAGAGAGAATCCCAAGCAGGCTCTGCACGGACTGTGCAGAGCCCAATGCGGGGCTTGAACCCACGAACCATGAGATCGGGGTCTGAGGTAAAGTCAAGAGTTGAATGCTTAACCAACTGAGCCACCCAGGCACCCCTTCAATTTTTATTTTAAAGAGATTGAGAGAGAAAGAGAGAGAGAGAGAAAGAGAGAGTGCACATGTGCAAGAGGGGGAGGAGCAAAGGGAAAGAGAGAATCCCAAGCAGGTTCCACACTCTGTATGGACCCCTACTCAGGGCTCGATCCCACGACCCTGGGATCACGACCTGAGCCCAAATCAAGAGTTGGATGCTCAACCAACTGAGCCACACAGCCTGCCCCACAAAAAAGAAATATGCCTTGATTTTTGTCTGATGGCAGCTAACAAGACTGTTATTGAGTTAATTCAATAATTTTGGTAAAAATTTGATTTATGTTTAGAAAGCTGAGTGCAATGTTACAGATTCTTACTTCTCTTAAAATGTAATTTAGGAGTAAGTAAGATTGCAATGTTTAAATCTCAAGTAACTTCTTACGTATGTCTCAGGAAATGGACTTCTTCACAGATGATTATAAAACAAGGTGACAACATTAAAATTATGAATGCAACTGTTTTAAGTATCATACTATTTTCTGCTTCAGCAAACTTTCAACATACGAATACCTGATATTAGCAAGCTCCAAGATCCACAGACACAAACACACACGTGTTTGTATATGTACATATACACAGACATACAAGTCTATATGCCAATATATATACACATATATATGCATATCTGTGCACACATAATATCCACATATATCATTTGACTAGAGTATTAGAGATGATAGCTTTGAATTAAATATACATCTGATAATACTGATAAATACACAAAAATCACATTTTATACACCATTAAAAGAATTTTTCATGACCTTCTACTTTTTTTGATTCTCTTATTTAACACAGTAAGATTAAAATTTTTTATTTCATTAAGCTGATAGAGGGTGAAATACTGACTTATGAATCATTCCCACAATATCTTTTCTATTTCTCATGATTAAGTCACAAAATAAAATGTTACCCTACATAACAATTTGAATGATAAATTCATATGGACTTCAAAAATAACGTTTAAGGGGCGCCTGGGTGGCTCAGTCGGTTGAGCGTCCAACTCTTGATTTGGGCTCAGGTCATGATCCCAGGGTTGTGGGATCAAGACCCATTTCAGGCTCCACACTGAGCTTGGAGCTTGCTTGAGATTCTCTCTCTCTCTCTCTCTCTCTCTCTCTCTCTCTCTCTCGCGGGCGGCGGCGCTCCCGCCCCACCACCCTCTCCCCTGCTCGCTCTTTCTCTAAAATAAAAAAATAACATTTAAGATATTTCTATTAATATCATGACATATTTCATGATCCATTTTACCCTCTCTTTAATAATCTGATGTAAACATTCTAGAAGAATAATAGCATGGATAAGAAAGTTTCCTTTCTGTGAGTGTTACCGATGTCATTCACTTGTGTTTGGTTTAGGGCATGTTCTCAGACCTTAGTGTGCCCCAGTATCACCCACAGAGCTGGGTGATGATAGTGTGCTGTCCCTCCTTTTTGTTCCCACTGGGGTTCCAGCCCCTAAGTTTCTGATTCCCAAAGTCTGGGGCCACAGCTTGAGAATTTTAATCACTACCCAACTCCCAGGTGACGCTGATGCTGCTAGTTCTAGGGAATCAAACTCTGAGAAATTCTGGTCTAGGGAATTAGAAATGATCAAACAAACAAAAATCAGGCAATTCCTCATTATTTCCCTTGATGGCAAACGCCTCCCAGAGGTTCGAGAACACATAGGCTGTGGCTGGCTGCGGTGGAAGAAATCACACTTACGTATACATTCTGTCTGTATTCCACTCCAAGTTAAATTTGCCAGGCAAGTCCGAGTCGTAGAACCTTGGATGTGGTAACCTTTTCTGCACCTGAAAAACACGGTGCTTCCAACCTAGAGAGGAAATCCAACATGGGCTTCAGAGGCGGAGCGGACGTGCGAGATACAATGTCATCACGCCGGAAAGCTCATTCCAGGGTAAGATACGCGAGTGACATCTCTCTTCCATGTCAGGCCATTGTTTGAGCCAGCATGGACATTTCAACTGCGTGTTATGGCTGAGTTGCTCAATGCACGAGGTGAGGATACAGGCAGGTACAGAGAACTGTGGTCATTTAAGAGGGAGTTTACTTGGGTGACGAAAGAACGCTTTTTCTCTTTCCTTTTGGCCCTCTGTGTCTTCAGATTGTAATAATTTTTTTCCCTTTTCCATTATTTCCTGCTATCCCTATTTAAGGTGTTGGCTTTACCCAACTGCTTTTGTTGACACTGCTGGGGATTGGCCAGCTCCTGCTCTATCGTAGAATCTCTCGAAACTGTCTATCCTCCTGAAGCAGCAGATACTTGGACTCTTTATTGCCACCCGCATGCCTGAAGTATCTTCCCAATAGACCTTCGCAACCTCCCCTACCCCCCCCCCCTTAGTTGTTGGTATCTTGCTAACTTTCACTTCTGCACATTCTTTCCTGACCTTCCAAGGATGCATCATATGCTTCTTACTGCAATGTCCTAGAAGCACCTGTATGTTTATCTACTTCCCCAACTTAACTGGAAATGCCTTGAAGGGAAGGTTCCCAGTGGTCTGTAGACATGTTTTTTGAGGATCAGTGATGGTCATGTGTTGAAGGGAATCAATGATCTCTCCTGGTCACTGATCACTTATATCCGGGACATGCAGGTTGGGGAGAACAGAAAACGGAAGAGAAGTACGCTCACAGAAAGGTGGTCTACACCTGGAAGGCAGCTTCGCGTACCCTGTGGTTCGGAATGGGACCAAGTGGGTTCCTAAGGCATAAATTATGAAGCCATGTAAGTGCACAGGTGAAGAGTGCACCCTGATTCTTGCTCAGAGGATTCAAACCAGGTCCTTAATTCCTCTACATGTGTCTTCCCATCTGGGTCAGTCCCTGCCTCCCTCATTGGGATTTTGGGGAGAAGAACTATGAGTAAAACATGGGGCAATAGTTGCTGCACTGAATAGTGATGAAGTGTGTCAGAAAAAAAAATAAAAAATAAACAAGCTGTTCCTTACCACTGGCACCTGAAAGTAGAGATTGGAATTTATACAGAAAAAAAAAAAATCAAATTTACCTAAACTGCAAAGGAATAACGGATTTGAGATGCAGAGATGGGTAAAGAGTAATCCATCACCTATCAGGAATACCCTCCATCGAATTTCCTTGTCAGGATGTCACTGACCCCAATCGGACCTCCTGGCAAATACGTGACATTATTTACTAGCAAGAAGAAACGAGAGAGCCTCTATCAGGTTCTGGTCGGAGGAAAAGACAGTGCCCTTCTCAATAGAGTATCTTTTAGCAGAAGATGCCTGGCCAGTCCAGATTGATCACTGTAAATTAACCTGGTGTTTATGAATTGACGGGACGTGGCCCGCCGGAGACTGGAGGGCAGCATTAAAATTGTGTAATGAACACAGCATGACAAGGGATGTTCTAAAACCGAAGCGGCTTACTCTGCGTGAGCACGTTGCAGAACGCAGTGCTGAAGAAAACAAAACTCTGTTATATTCACAACTTAATGTGTCCTGATGAAAACAAAAGAAGAAACAAGAAACATTTTGGGACGATTCCTCTGACGGGGTTAGCCATCTCCTTAAAGGATGGCGTCTGTGTCTTTAAAGTATTAGCAAATCTTGCTTTTGGATCCAACCTATCATTCTTGTTAGTGTAACTTGATTTTGTCATCAGAGGAGTGAGAAATTTATCCATTCCTATTAGTTTCTTAAGATAGATCCCAGGGATAGGATGCTGAGTGTAGTCACTAAATGTGGACTTCACGTGGGCTCTTTGAGGGCAGATAAGGAACCCGTGGGGAGTCAGTGAGAGCATTACTCAGTATAGTATTTGCAGGCCTTGCCGTATATGTGGCATGACATTTCTACACGCCAGTAAGCATTTCCCTGAGGATTGGGCCATATTTGACACCTAACATAAAATACGCCAGATTGTGCCTCATAGGTACCTACGACAAGTTCCTCTGGGGGGTGTAGGAATGCCATCAGGAAGTAGCCAAGGTGTGTTAGAGCCAACCAAGAAAGAATATGTTAGGTTTCAGGAAAGCCTCAGTGAAGTGGCTGAAGAAAAAAGGCTTTTTATTCTAAATTAGTGGGCTCTCTAACTTGAATGCACTACACATATTTAACTGTGGCTTTCAAAGCCATCTCATCATCGAGCTGTGAAGTCACTTGATCACTTAAGATGGTGGAAACATTTTATTTCAAGGTTCATTACCTCCTAGTTTTGGTTATTCCTCTAATACTACCTAACGTGTTAATGTACTTTTTATTTAAAAAGTCAAACGAACGTCAAACGTGGTATCAAGTACGCAAATAGTTCATACACAGAGGTGGCATGGAAAAGAAATATCACAAAGTAAGCCTACTAGCTGAGGAGGCTGAATGCGTTTTCTTCTGTTTTTGTCTCTAAAATCTAGTATTATTTGCCCATGATGCATCGGGTCACTGAACAGGGTATTGTTACGCGTAGCTATTCAGTGACCAGTCACTCTGGAGAACTGCCATGACAGTTCAGCGAACAAAAAACATCACGTCATGCAAACTTTCAAGTAGAAATCAATATGACAATTGCTACTGTGTGAATTAAGATGCATCCAGCTATCCCAATTTTGACAGTTAAAATACCACGTGGGCATCCTCTCCGAATCAATGCATCTCCGCAAATATACGATGAATCAGGGTACGTGAAACCATGCGCACATGTTCGAGTGTCAATTGCATTTTATACTTACAGAGAAACAGGGTGAAATAAAAATGGAATACCTCGTATCCTCTGGAGCTATTCTGTATTCCAAAGTGTGGAGTGCCGGGGTCTGGGCAGCTGTTATGAGCTGGATCTGAAGTGCACATAAAAACAAAACAAAACAAAGAGCGCCAGATACGGTTACTCTAGGGACTCTAACATTTTTACTCAAAGGTCATAAAAATGTGAGAAAACTGGGGGGGGTCTGGGTGGCTCCGTTGGTTAAGTGCCCGACTCTGGATTTCGGGTCAGGTCATGATCTCACGGTCTTGAGATCGAGCCCCGCGTAGGGCTCTGCGCTGAGCCCGGAGTCTGTTTGGGATCCTCTCTCCTTCTCTCTCCACCCCACCCCTGCTCATTCCCTCCCTCTCCCTCTCTCTCTCTCTCTAAAAATAGACAAAGTATAACAAATTGAGAAAATTATATTTTGGCAGATATGTAAGATGTTTTGCATTAAAGTTAAAAATCAAAGTATATTGCTATTTACATCTTCTTTTCAGACTTCTTTAGGTATACCTCTTTCGTTCTTTATCAGATTCTAAATTGCTCTGTGTATTATTTTCTGTATCAGAATGAACACCCTTTTCCATTTTCTGGTCAGACAAAGTATACTGGTTGGTCCACTAATATGCTGTCTTCAATAACTATTATGATCCCTCGGTTCTTAAGGAGTTCACTAGTGGTCATCCCTTTCAGTCATCCATTACGTGACTGCAAATTTCTTGAGTTAATTTTCCTCGAGACTTCAAAATGGGAAATATATTTAGTGCTTCAAAGTTGAGGCATATGGTAGACCAAAAGTGACATTTCTCTCCCCAAAAATGTAGGACTTGAGCAATGAGGAGCGTGTAGCTTTATTATTTGCTGCTCTCTAGATGCTCGTATGAAAAAAATTACCTAACTTACAAAACAAATGGTTTTCAAAAGAAACTAACCTATTGGAAGGAAGAAAACCATTTCTTAGTATAGAGATAGGAACCGTGTAGCAACGGTTTAAATGAAATAGCAGTAAACATGTCTGTTAATAAAAAAAAAGGCAGTGCTTCAAGGAAATTATTCCTGAAGCTCTTTGTGTTTAAGTAGTAATCAGTCAATTTCTTAGAAACCATGACTATAGATCATGAATTGTTTACTACAAAGATGCAGAACATCTACTCCTTGGCTCAGTACAGCTGGTGAAAAAATTAACTCATCAATCAACATGAATCTGCAGCCATGAGGTATGAAGAAAATTGCTCTTAACAGAAATAAAGGGTAATGTTTCTCTGCCACTAAGAATTTGACTTTTGACAAATACAGCTTGTGTCTGAATCCTTTCTAGGAGACAGAAATGCAACATAAAAAGGCAGGGCTTAAATCATATGGAAAGTGTCTCCTGACTTGTAAGTCTCGTTGCCATATTCCAAGGTCACCAGAACGTCGTGCCCGACTCCTTCCACCACTGCTGGTGTGGGTGGGTCAGTAGGGACTGGCCAGTGAAGACAGACTGGCACCAACGGGACGACGCCCAAACAACAGCCAGGCCGTCTTCCCGGTGATGGTGGCTTTGGAGAAGGGCAATGACAGTGTCTTCAACAAAGCTGTCTTTCCCTGAAAGAATGCCCCTGCCGCTTGAGGTGCAGACAGGGAAACAAGATCTAAATTCAGGTCCAAAGTTGATCTGTAGGATTTAATCGGAGTAGCCGATGAGGGCTTGCCCAACGAACCATCTGTGGGCACAGGATCTGTGAAGCCACAAACGATCCCATTTTAGCGTGCCGGTCCCCACCCCCGAACACCCTCGGGGTGGTCTTGCCAACGTTCCTACCGATGCAGGTGGGCTGGGTGCCGCTCCACGTGCCGTCGGCCTGGCAGGTTCTTCTCGAGGACCCCACCAGTATGAAGGGAGGTTTGCACTGGAAGAAGACTTCAGATTTATAGGTGAAGCTTTTGCCACTGAGCCGCCCCTCCGCGGGGGTGCCGGGGTCTCCGCAGAACACGGCTGTTGGAGACAACAAGGCAGTCAGCCAACAATAGGAGCCGCCGCATCGGGTCAGCCCACTCGGGTCGTGTAACTAGTGTCTGCGAAATCTTTGGGGACAACTATTAAACTGGGAAATGACCGAGGGGCAGAATGCGCATTTGAGCGGGGAGGTCTCGAGCGTGAACGTTTGCATATGGTAGCATGGCTATAGAGGACACGTCGCTGTTCTCCTCACACCGGGAGCTGAGGGTGCTCCTCATGGTCCAGTGCAACGTGACCCAGGAAGAAGCATCACTGGGGGACTTACGTAGGCACTGGGGCACCTCCCCTTTCCACACCCCACGGCCTTCGCAGGAGAGGATGGCGGAGTGAGAGGGCTGGAAGCCGTCCACGCAGCTGTAACTGATGCTGGACCCCCAGTGGAAATCTTCTCCCTCCACCTTCCCGTGCTGTACTTGAGGAGGCTGGCCACACGTGACAGCTGTTTCAAAGAAGAGACGAGACTGAACATCCGGAGCATCCGCCACGACCCTAACACTCACAGGATGCACGTTTTAATTCTACCCGGGTCACAAAGGACATCTACATAGGGTTGTTTTCTTTTAATACGAGAATTATTGAGGAAGACAGCACATTGAGATAATAAAACTTTTCTCCAATATTTCTTCATTAATTTAGATCAAGTACATAAGAGCACAGCAAAGTCACAACATATCACACGGTGGAAGAAAGCAGGATTGAACATGACATTCTCAATACGTACAAGGCCAAGAAGGGAAGAGATACTCGTATTCAATGTATGTCTTTTCATGATGGTTCTCAACAACAAAACAAATCTGGGCTTGCTTATATGACATGAGTACAGACTTCTGGATTTATATATATAGTTGGCAAGCTTTTTTTTTTTTTTTAACACATAAAGATATAATATGTGAAAGACATAGGCTGTGGATCCATTTGCCGAATAATTAAAAACCAAGCACTTGCATGGTTAAGAAGATTCTGTGGAACACCACTGCCCAGTGTATTATATCAGCCATGAGCTGACGGTGGGGCCCCCGAGCAGGGATGCAGTTCTCACAGATGATGAGTGGTTGGCGTGGCCCCAGGTAGCCCCCTTAGAACCTAGCCATTACCCTGAAGTGCAGGGGGCTGGGGACTGCGATCAACAAATCTTCTTGGAAGATCCAAGAGCTTTCTGGATTTTTCACCCTGGAGGAGGCTTGCCAATGACAGAAGGCAGCAAGAGAAGGGACCCAGGTGTATACTCTCACCTGCATTTTCTTCTGCGTGCTCACACTCAGGCATTCTCACGTCGGAAGACACAGTCACACATGCACAGTCAGCAGTTGGAAATGAGCCTCTCTGTTATCTCTCATCTATTCAGTTTTTTCAACCAATATTTCTTGAGAGTCCACACGTGAGGGGGTAGGGGGGACACGTGCTCTAGACAGGGGATATCAAGTGAGAAGTCCCCTAGGAGGGAACAGTAATGAGCGACGTGGTTTCACAGAATCACGTGAGGAGGTGACTAGCCCCAGACAGGTTCAGAGGGAGAGAGTGGTCTCTTCTGGAAGGGCCTGGTTGCCCACGGAGTTCCTTCCAACTGCACTGGCTGTTCAAAAGAGGAGCAAAAGTCTACAAAAGCATGTGACATCACAGAGACCAGTGCAATTATTGGTCGCTGTCATGAGCACGTCATGTGACTAGATGGCTCCTGACACTAGTCTGTGACTTTCAGTAAACGTTTATCCAGCGCCTGCAACAGACACAGCATTAATGATGGCTGGCGGAAGACAGGAGCCTCTGCGATCCTTACGCACCGGTAGGAGGGAAAACGTGGCCCACCAACAGGCCCATGTCGGAAGGGAGAGGGAGCCAGGTGGTTGAGCACCCAGCTCTCACGGAGGCCTCACACTGAGCTCTGTCCACGCAAGCCCCAAGACCCATCTGCCTCTCAGAGCCCACTGAAGATGAACGCTTCCTCACTAGCAGTTGCCAGGGTCCAACTCACAACTCCCCCAGAACTGTCCGGGTTCCTAGTCCAACAAAGAGCCAGGCACTGCATTTTTGTTTGGGGCCAGCCACGCTCAAGCCCCACTTGTCTCCCTGTGCCCCTCCTGCCCCACTCTGGCCCGGCTGATAAGGAAGCTGGCACGTGCTCTCTCCGGTGCCGGCAGAGGAGCCCTAACCATGCAGATCGCTGTCTTTGGACAACTGTCTCCAGCACCACTGTTTTCTCACTGTCAAAGCCCAGCCCTCAGTTACATCGTTCAAGTCACATCCACTGGCGTCTCCCTGACCTTCTCTCCCTGCAAAGTCCAACCCCCAAGTCATAAACCTTTTCTACCGCCTCTATATTTGTAGGGCATCTTCAGACTCAGTGTCCGAATCCCACAGAACATCATGGTACCAACATGGTCGGCCATTATTTGATGACTGGCTTCTCTCTCTAAGTGGCGTTTAAAGTCCTATAATTATTCTTCCCCATCATACCTGCCTTAAGCCTTAATATATCTGGGGTTAACAATGTTTACCGAGAGAGAGGACATCACTGGGATTCAAAATACAGACTTAAAGCTTGTACCCCATCATTTGAGAGCTGATGTCTCCCAATCTTGGTTTGTGCACTGGGCCATTTACTAACTCTGCTAGTCTGTTTTCCCATCTGTAAAGCTGAGATTAATGTATTAAGAAAATGGCAGTGATTTTATTTGCAAATGAGTCACGAGAATTCCTAGCACATAGAGGACATCATAAATGCTTGCAAATGCAGTGAAATGGAATTCAACAAACGCTTCTGTGTCAGCAAGACCAGAAAGGTAATGACACAGACCTTTGCAGGTGGGTTTGCTGTTATTCCATGTACTGTCTTTGGTACAACGGATGGTGGATGATGTGACAGGTTCCAGGAGATAGCCAGGGTCACACTGATAGCTTACAGTCTTATTGAAGGTGAAATCCGTCCCAAACTGGATGCCATTGGCCAGTGTACCTGGGTCCCCACAGCTTATAACTAATGAGCAGAAGAAAAAAAGCATTAGAAAGGTAAAAACAAAAACAAAAACAAACATTAAATGAATTCATTATGGTTTCTGTTCATGTTACTCCCCTTATGCTGATATTCAAAATGATTAAGCAGTGGGGCGCTTGGGTGGCTCAGTCAGTTAAGCGTCTGACTCTTGGTCTCGGCTCAGGTCATGATCTCATGGTTCGTGGGTTTGAGCCTCACTTCGGGCTCTGTGCCGACAGCGCAGAACCTGCTTGGGATATTCTGTCTCTCCCTCTCTCTCTCTCCTCTCTGCCCCTCCCATGCTCACTCTCTTTTTCTCAAAATAAATAAAAAGTTAAACTTAATGAAAACAAACCAAATTGATTCAGTAGTAAATTGTTACAGCAGTATTGTCCTCTGTTTGCTGACTGGTCGTCGGGACACTGTGTTTGGAATCGCTTGTTTCTATTCGATCCTGGTTGGCTGTGGGGATGCCGGCTGCCATCTTTGTCCAGTCCTTAATTAGGTACCGTGGGTACTCTCATCACAAAGTTAAGGACAGAGACAAAGGCTGCGATCAGAGAATAAACACTTTTCTTATTTCTCTGCAAACGAGATGTTCTACAGAGAGGACAAACCTTGACTTTTGTGGCCCCAATTTTCCAACGTCCAACCCACTGGCCAATGGAAATGGCTTTGGGGGCGCCTGTGTGGCTCATTTGGTTAAATGTCTGACTTTGGCTCAGGTCATGATCTCATGGTTTGTGAGTTCAAGCCCCACTTCAGTCTCACTGCTGACAGCACAGAGCCTGCTTTAGATTCTCTGTCCCCCTCTCTGCCCTCCCCTGCTTACACGCATGTAATCTCCCTCTCCCCCCCCTCAAAAATAAGTAGACGTTGGGGCGCCTGGGTGGCGCAGTCGGTTAGGCGTCCGACTTCAGCCAGGTCACGATCTCGCGGTCCGTGAGTTCGAGCCCCGCGTCGGGCTCTGGGCTGATGGCTCAGAGCCCGGAGCCTGTTTCCGATTCTGTGTCTCCCTCTCTCTCTGCCCCTCCCCCGTTCATGCTCTGTCTCTCTCTGTCCCAAAAATAAATAAACGTTGAAAAAAAAATTAAAAAAAAAATAAGTAGACGTTAAAAAGAAGAAAATATTTTCAACCATATCAATAAGAAGGTGAAGAAAGATCTAAAACTGTCTAATAAATAGAGCCATCATATATATGTAGACCTTGTTTTTGCCATGTGTTAAAAAAATCAATAAAGTATTTAACAAATAAACAAATTTTTCTCGGTCAAGCCGGTGACGTCCTTCGGCCCACATGACAGCTGTTACTAACTTGTACAGTCGGGGGCTGTGCCGGTCCAGGTCCCGTTGGCTGTGCAGTGCCGAATCATTAACCCTGAGGTCTTGTAGCCTTCCCAACAGGCGTAGATGACCGAGCTGGAGAACAGGACGCCGTCACTGCTGACAATCATGCCGTTGGTGGGCGTGCCAGGATTCCCACAGGACACGGCTGTGAGCGACAGTAACACAGAAACACAGTGAGCTCTTACCAAAATGATCAATACAAGAGACCAGAGGTTGTCGGTGTCGTAGAGGACATGTTTCTTTTTAAGAAAATAGGACCTATTGCTATGAAGATGTTGAACATATATCTTACATTATGATTTGTACCGTTATTTTATCGATGAGTTACAAATGTGAAAATTGTCTTTTCATAGTATTCTTCATAAAGTACTTCAAAACAAATTAAAAGATGAATTAAAGCACTGAAAATTCCAAGACTTGCTTCTTTGGGATTTCACATGTTTATAATAAAAAAAAACATTTTTTTTAAAAAGGATTTTTTTTAAAGGATCTATCTGATACCAGCAACTCAGAAGTCACTCCCTTCACGTAATAACCGATTTTTTTTTGAAATCCGGTCAAATCGGGTCATATTTCACATCTGTAGAATTCATTTTGGAAAATAAGTGATGCCTGAGGAGTATGAGTGAGTACTTCAACTGTCTTGTAAAATGGTCTCCACATTGTTACCCTATCCAACGGCGGCTGTTTTAAGTGGCCTTGGACAGGCTGCACTCTGTTTCTCTCTAGATGATCCCAATGCCCGTGCAGGCATTAAGATGCCTCCTAACAATGGCAATAATGAAAGGCTGGGCGACAGTTCTACGCCCAGTGTACCCCCCTCGCACATTTCTTAGCCCAGAAAGCTCAGTGGCTTCTGGGTGTGTATCATGTGATGGTTTTAACCCTTAATAGGATTTTCTTGACTTTTGTACTCGCGTTTATTTATCACAAAGATTGTGTTTTTTTCTCCTTAGCACTCCCACATGATGCACAGCAGGTAGACATAGAAATAATATGACCTTTCGTTGGACGCTAACAGCAGAATGTATCCTGAGAACATTTCTGAGAATGGCTGGAATGTTTACAAATGCTCCTTCCTATTTAGTTGTGCCGCTTTCAAATCTAGCATTCAGAACAAAGATAGACTCTTTCTAAAAATGTGGATGAAAACAGGGGCACCTGGGTGGCTCAGTCGGTTAAGCATGGGACGTTTGATTTCAGCTCAGGTCATGATCTCAAGGTCCGTGAGACTGAGCCACACACTTGACTGTGCTGACAGTACAGAGCCTGCTCGGGATTCTCTCTTCCTCTCTCTGCCTTTCCCCTGCTTACACTCTCTCTCAAAGATACACGTATATACTAAAAAAAAAAAAAAAAAATACAGAAGAAAACAAACTGACTACAAAACTTACATAGTATAGAAGAGACACTGTAATGGACGTGAAGGGAATCGCCGATCATATTGTGCTGAAAAACATGCTGACCCCGAGGTTGGACTTGATCGTGTCTGACAACTACAAAGCATGCATGCTGGTGCTTCTCTGTCTGTGCCCATGACAGACATGAGTCCACCACAACCCTCTTCCCTAATGGATCTGGTGTGAACTTACAGTCTTTCCTAGCACGGATCTTTCAGCATTTTTCTGGCTGTCATTTGAAATGAGGTCTATTTGCCAATAGTGAAGCAGATGATATTTAACACTGAACATCTGAAGCCCAAAAGTCTTGTGATGGCTACACTATCAATCGAAATGTCATGTTGCCAAAAGCCCAGAGGCTGGACTCTTCGAGACAATTACTCATTCATTCAACACATGTTGATCCATCATTGAATATGTGACATTTGTTGTTTGATGTACCAGTGAAAAGCCCGACAGAGAAGAGACTTGTATTGATCCAATTTGTAATTTAGCAAACCAACCAGACAACCATGTTCTTACATTTTATTCTAACCATAACTACGATTAAAATGTGTAGCAATTTTCAAATGTCACCTGTGAAAGATAATGCTAAAATAGGATGCAGACACAGGTGAACGTATGCGAGCTTAATTTATACACAGATATGTTGTCAGGGTAAGAATACCCATCATGATAATGACATCCTAATGTTCAGAAAGTCCCTCAAAAAGGGGTTCCTGGGTGTTTAGTCATTTAAGAGTCTGACTCACGATGTCAGCTCAGGTTATGATCTTGCAGTCCATGAGTTCGAGCCCTATGTCAGGCTCTGGGCTGACAACACAGAGCCTACTTGGGATTCTCTCTCTGTCTGCCCCTCTCCCCCTTCATGCTCTCTCTGTCTCTACAATAAAATAATAAATAAAATAAAATAAAATAAAATAAAATAAAATAAAATAAAATAAAATAAAATAAAAT